TAATTATCCTTTTATTATTGAATCATGGGACGCGACAATAAGAGAGACAATAATAAGGAATTAAATAGTATAGTGCTCAATATTAAGACCGTGAATTTATAAATAAAAAAGGAATATTTAAAATAATGTTACACAATTTAGGAAAACATTTGAAAAAATAACCTTAATTTTCTTATATAATTATATTATATATATAGTATAATTTGCAGTAGTCAATGAAATTAAAAAAAAAAACATTATAGAATAGCCAAAAATTGGAAAATGTGGTGCAATATCAAAGTTGTGGTAAGTATCAAATTCATAAAGGGTATTTCCACGATGCCTGAATTGCGCAATTTCGTCAATATCCTCAATTTCAGCTGAAATCGCGATACAATTCTCAATTTGACCATATAAAAAAATGTCACGAGAAATTGCGTATGAATTTTCAGCGAAATTGAATTCGCGAATACAACTCTGAAAATTGCTTATTGTGATTTATTCATGAGCAAAAAGAAGAAAAACCAAACGTCAATAACAAATAAACAAAAACAAACGAAGCCTACAGTCACAATAGCACTTCAATACTTTTACAATACTAATTTCCGATGTCAGTCAGTAGATGGCGCGCTATAGGGGTTTCCTTTGTTCATGAATTATGAAGTCAAAAATGTATAAAAAATTAGGTACGAATTCGAAAAAAGAGCACAACATTTTTTTTTATACAATTACGATCTTTTAAAAGGCCTATCAGTTAATAAGTAGATAATCTATTATTAATTTTTTACAGTAAAATATTTACTATTGAAGTAATAAATAAATACAATTTTTTCCAAGTAACTTACATCAAATTAATTTTTTTTCATTCTAAATGTAGTGAATATACTTACATAAATTCAAATATAAAAGCCGAAAACCATATTGTGATCGTATTGGGATTCGATTTTGAAACCGCGCTTTACGCGCTACTACGCATACCCTAACTATAAACTGGTGAAAATTATATAAAGTCGTCACAACTAACAAAATCTTTCACGTGTGAGTCATCGTGCACTTAAGATGGCATTCAATATTTAAATCTTTAACATAAAATGCTTTTTGTATTCCTCAGTTCTTATATATATTTAT